TCTAAGTCAGGGCATGGCTAACTCACAGATAGAACCCTGAAACAACCTCTGGGCTGATCTAAGTCAGGGCATGGCTAACTCACAGATTGAACCCTAAAACAACCTCTGGGCTGATCTAAGTCAGGGCATGGCTAACTCACAGACCGAACCCTGAAACAACCTCAGGGCAGATCTAAATCAAGGCATGGCTAACTCACAGATTAAACCTTGAAATAATTACCTGAGACCTCAGAGGAAAGACACAAGTGTGTGTACTACTAAATGTACAGCATTGTTGATTCCAGGGAATCAACAACGCCGCATTCATACACCACATCTATTAATAGTACTTCCATTAAAGAGCACTCTATCTGTTATTCCCAGGTTCGTATGGTTCTTTGGCAAGGTATAGATCAATATCTCGTATCATGAAAGTCAATGGCAATACCCTCCTTGGAGCCTCAGGAGATTATGCTGACTTCCAGTATATTAAAGCCATACTTGAACAAAAAATGTAAGTACATCACTGTTCTACACACAGGTCATTAACTATATAGAGGATATTACATGGGCGAGCGGAGATACGAATTTTATCTTTGAGTGTTGAAAATATCTCTCACGAGTGAGTGCAGCAAACAAGTGAGAGATTTTCAACACGAGAAGATAAATTTCGTATCTCCAAGCACCCATGTAATATTCTGTTTGTTATGTTTATTATCCATAAAATCAACTTAATAAGCTTTTTATTATTATAACTAGCTAACTAATAGCTTAAATACGCAAGGTAACGATATTTTCACATGTGAAAATATCAGTTTTTCGAAAAGGAGAAATATAGGTATTTTATGGATAATTATATGATAAATTATGGTTTTCTAATCTTTAATAAAAGGGATTACAAACTCCAATAGACCTCTACGGCTTGGCGTAATGTTTTCCCATTTCAGACCACATGTCATTCCCTTATGAATAATATTCTTTGTTTAAGCTAAAACCATATTTACATGTCTTCTCATGTGCAACCAAGCGCAAACCTTAAACAAAGAAATGATACTCTAGGGAATGACATGTGGTCTGAAATGGGACAACATTACATCAGAACCGAGGAGGTCTATTTGTCATCACCTTTTGAGAATTTTAGTTTGAAAAAAATGTTCATAGGAGCATTCTAACCACCCAAACTGCATACTGTAGTTGATTTTATTGATCGCTTATCAATGTAAGGTCTAATTAAATTTGGAAAATCGAAACTGAGACCAGCATCGAAGTATCTGAAATCTGCGTTTTTGAAATAACTCAATTCACCTTTTTGGCGTTAGCCGTCACGTCGTAAACAATTTGTTGGATTGTGTTACGGTTAGAGGATGACACTTGACAGTAATTCAACTGATAAACTTGTCGTCCTCTGTTAACCTCTCTAGTTAATTAGGGACGGGACCGCCATTAATGTGATCATACGAGCCACATGAAGGGCTAACTATATGTAGATGTAATTACAAAGATAGCACCTTCTCCTCAGTTATTTTAAGACCCTGAGTGTTGGTCCAGCCGAGGCTTGAACAATGACCTCCCAGACAACAGACTGACCCTCTTACCAACTGAGCTAGCCGGGTGGCGGTATTTGAATGGCCACATCTGGCTTTCAAAAGAAATTGATAAGATTAGCACCATGATAAATGAGTAGGATTTAAAAAATCGAATTGGTATCCTTCAATACTCTCAATAAATAAAAATATATTACCATAAAATTATCATTTATAGACATAAATTTATTATAATTCTAGTATTGACGATGCTTGTTTGGATGATGGTCATGGATACACACCGCAGTCTATTTTCTCCTGGATAACGAGAGTCATGTACCATAGGTACAGTAATCACGTCAACTTACTTATATTAGGGAAAGTTCATTTAATGTGCCGAGAGGGGGGTTAAGATATTCTGGGGGGGGGGGGGGTTGGGGGGTTGTAGCTTGTACTTTATTCACTTCTTTTCTAGTACAACCCTTGGGAATATTGAGATTAAAGAAAAATTATATTCTTCTTATTTTTCTTATTGTGGTTAGAAATGTTCAATATGGATACTGGTTTCAAATTTAGCACACTTTCAGTTTATCAATGAGTTAATTTCTTTAATAATTTTAATTAAAATGTTAGTAATAGTAAAATAGATGTTAATAATAATAGAATTTTAATATACATGTAATGTTATTTAATGATTGTAATTAAATTGTATTTTTTAGACGTACTAAATTTGATCCTCTGTGGAACCAAGTAGTTGTTGGTGGATTTTACAAAGGAGAAAGGTATGAATTGATGATAAATTACTATATAGTTAGGATAGTATGCGCAAGCTGATTGGTCGAAAATTGTGCTTAATTAGTGAACGGAGCACAGTGCTGGTGCCATCCGGGTGCGAGAGGTTCTGCTAGATCCTGCTACCTTCATTCTTTTTGCGTAAATAAATTCAATACCGAAATAAAATTAGTAACTATATAATAAAACCAATAAAACAACTTTTTCCATGCTTCGTTCAGTAATAAAGCACTTAAGAAGCATCGTAAGCACTCAAGAAGCATGAGAAGCACTCGCCTGTGACTTGTCCTTCTCCTTACACTTCTTTCATGCTTACGCCACTTCCTACGTGCTTTATTACTGAACGAAGCGTGGAAAAAGCTGTTTTATAAATTTGTTAAATACTAGTAAGCTGTGTTCCTTAATAATTTCATCTTCATCACTCCATTTTATATTTTCTCAATTTTTAGTTTTCTAGGCTACGTAGACAAGATTGGAATCGCATTTGAGGCTCCAACCATTGCTAGTGGTTTTGGTGCTTACCTCGCACAAGTAAGTACACGAGATCTGCAACTGTTGAGGTATGATGTAATCAGCAGGGAAAAGGAACATGAACACCCTGCCAGCAGTACTGGGGAGGGAGGTGGGGCACAATTCAGCTTCCTAAGCTTCAAATGACCTTATGTAATAGACCCTTTTCGAGTTCCAAATTACAGCTGTGTTCCTTGATTACAGACTCATTTGTACAGGGTTAGCCTCGCATCAGTGTTTAGATATTCGCAAATACCAACGGTAAAGTAAAGAATGCACAACTTCAACAATACGGACACTTTGAAACTTGACGGACCTTCACTGGAACACATGAATATTCTTCATAAAATCGAGGCTAAGCCTGAGTAAATGGGGTTGTAATCAAGAAACAAAGTGGTAATTTGGAACTCAAAAAGGGCCTATTGATAAGACATAGAGAGCTAATTTATCAACTCCATGCAACTTAACTATTCAGTGAAAATAGTCTAAAATATTCTTTTTTTAATACAGCCTCTTCTACGTGATGCATTTGAGAAGAACCCTAATATGTCCCTGGAACAAGCCAAGCATGTGATTATTGAATGTCTAAAAGTACTGTTCTACAGGGATGCAAGATCGCTCAATAAGGTATACAAACAGACTTATAAATGGATAATGGCATTTAGAAGTGGCTATGACAACAAAAAATTAGATTTTTACATGAACGTTTTTAAAGTGCTTATAAGCCTTTGCACAATATTTTCAGAATTGATTCTTTAGATAGTTGATTGTGAAAATATATGACGTAACATAAGGGGTCATCTAATATACAACACTGCCTGCACTCGTTCTGGAATGGAGTATTTTAAAAGCATCACCCTTTTACTCGTGACTCATGTGAAGGTTCTTACAAATTTCTTTTCAAAAAAATGTCCAGTGTTCAATATTAAAAGTTGCCACAAAATAACTCAAATCCCTTATGTTACGTCATAGTCACTTATTGGAAATATAATCCTTCGTATCTCAAAGACCCGACATTCAAATGACGAATTATTTTCACAATCAACTATTCACTATTTAAAGAATTTTTTTTTTTTTTTTTGACGATACAACAGTGGAAATGAGCTTACTGGGAACCCTGTGGTAAATCAGCAAGAAAATAAGGGTCGGTCGCGCAACAGGAAACACACTTATTTTTTCGTTTGGACTAAGAGGAAAACTTGTGTTAAAAAGTCTGTAACTATACTGAAAAATTAGAAAATGCATGCACGTGCTGTGTGCACTCATAAAGCAAGCGGGGGTTGGCAGAACACAAGAGGAGTGTTAGGACGAGTATTACGCATAGTGGAGAGCTTCTCAACCCTTCTCCAGTTTTCTGTCAATCCCCAAGTGCTTTACAACTACATACACCTACTTGCAAGAACGTTGTCATATGATATTAGAACATTAGTAATTTAGTGAGAAAGAAATACATTAAAAGACAAAAGAAAAAGTTCAGCTTCAGTGATCTTTTGTTTTTTAATATACACTTATTTCAATAAAGTTAGTCACCTGAAAAGCTACAAAGCTGAGACCTGCAAGGATTATGGGTAGATACATTTTATATGTTTCGACTGCTTTAATAACTATTGAGGGATTTTGGATCTTTTACCATTTACAGTCTCACCTCTTCTGAGCATCATCAAGCTGCAAATCGTATCAAAAGCTTTACTTGTTTGATATTAAAAAATTCCCATGATCCTCAGTGATCTCAGCTTTCTAGGTTTTTTGGTGACTAACTTTATTGAAATAAGTGTAATTCCTATTCCACTAAATCACTAATGTTCTATTTTCGTAGAGTACAAACACTATAAGTGTGTAACATAAATACCACTAGATACTGCTAAATTATGCTAATCCTATTGTTTTCTATTGTTTAATTAGCAATATTTACTACTATTCTATTTACTAGAGTGTTTGTACTCTATGACAAAGTGCTTGCAAGTATGTTTACACACTTTCATAACTTCCTCATACACACTTTCATAAACCCATCTTCCCTACAGAACTACATTTGGTGAAAAAAAGAAAGATTAGTATTCACAATATTGTTTGTGTTCTAGTTTGAGCTGGCCATAGCAACCAAAGATGGTACAGTAATCGAACCAGTACAATCCGCAGACACAAACTGGAGCATTGCAAAAATGGTCAAGTAAGTAACATTACTGTTAAACAGTTCTCAAAGTCTTTCACTGATAGAGCTCCTAAAGATTTATTTCGCGCCAAAACACATAGTTAGAGTCCCAAGTCTGTAACTCATGCGGATTATGTCAGAGCCCTCGTACTTCGCCGTAGGTCAAAAGAAACGCAGGCTCGAGATTGAGCTACTAAGTATGGCATAGAAATACTTTAATCGTCTCTCACCTCTGGGGTCTCTGGTTGGATTCCTGGACTCAGCATCACATGTGAATAGAGTTTGTTAGGTCTCTCCTTTGATTCTAAGGTTTTTCCCTGCGCAAAATTCCAATAGACTGAGTATCGAATTCCAAATTACCGCGGTGTGTCTTGTCACAAACTCATTTACTCAGGGTAAGCCTCGAATCAGTGTCTAAATATTCACAAATACCAACGGTAAAGTGAAGAATGCACAATTTCAAATATACAAACACTTCGAAATTCCAAGGACCTTCATTTGAACACATGAATATTCTGCACAAAGTCGAGGCTAACCCTGAGCAACAGAGAACTCGAAACAGACCGTTTTCTCGAGGTTGCGTGCGCATCCAAATTTAAGAAACTTGGCGGGCAACAATACCAGAACAGGAGCTTTATGATGAGATTTATCATCTATGAGATTTTTTCCGATAAGAATTCATAAATTTGATTGTTCTCATCTTTAAATATAAAACTGGCTTCTCAATTTTACTGAATTTGTGTTTTTCAATTTGTGGCCCGTCAAGATTGCATGCGCACGCAACCTTGAGAAAACGGTCAACTGAAGTATTTGTTTTGTGAATTAGCTTTAGACATATATATTTTTTAATTTCCTTTTTTCACTTTTCTTTTTCAAGGGGTTATGAGTAGTACGGCTTCCAACATAACACCAAGCTTCTCGTTTCTTCATTTTTCTGTGTCTTTGTAAAGCAATACCATATATGTACCAATAAATGGATTAAATTAATATGTGCTGTGTTTTCTGATCAAATATAGATCGTGTGTCATAAGTCTACGTAATCAATAAACTGGTGGTGATGGTGGTGATGGTGACACTGATGATGATGATGACACTGGTGGTGGTGATGATGATGACACTGGTGATGGTGATGATGATGACACTGGTGGTGATGATGACACTGGTGATGATGATGATGGTGACACTGGTGATGGTGATGACACTGGTGATGATGATGACACTGGTGATGATGATGATGACACTGGTGGTGGTGATGATGATGACACTGGTGATGATGGTGACACTGGTGATGACACTGGTGATGATGATGACACTGGTGGTGATGATGATGACACTGGTGGTGATGATGATGACACTGGTGGTGATGATGACACTGATGGTGATGATGATGACACTGGTGGTGATGGTGATGCTGTTGATGACAATGATGATGTTGATGACAATGACGATGAGGCAGATTTTTTAATCTGCTTATACACTCGATGTAGCATACACTTAACAYATAGATCTTTACCGAGTGACAAAAACACATTTCATAAATGATGATGATGATAAAGATAAGGATGACTATCTAGTAATCATCCTAGACATGATAATTTGTTTTGTCACTGGGGTGGAAATATCTATAATAACGAGGACATCGAACGATGTTTGTATGCATATTTTACATTAATATACTGCTCATGCATTACATTGTTTATGCGACACATTTCTGCTCCAAGATAAACTTAAGGAGTGGCTGATCTGATAACGTGGTTAATCACCCATTACATTTCTGGATCTAACTCATAAAGTTTTCAAAAAAATTGCATTTGAAGCTACTCTGTTCTTCAATTTCATTACAATCGATAATAAAAAGTACTAAAGCTATTCAAAAATATCTGTAAATTTAATCCTATGAATCACTTGTTCAATTGTCATGATTCATTGATCCGAATACGCTTCGCTTTTTCCAGATCACCAAACACAGAAATATTAAGAATACTCTGGTAAATGGTTATTCAATTTATTCATTCGTAAATATGCTTCATAAAAGAGGATTTCATTAACATTTTTAATATTAAATTGACGATTATTAATTTTCATTAATATGATTTTTTTTTTTTGATTTTTTTTTTTTTTTGATTTTTTTTTTTTTTTTTTTTTTTTTTTTCGCTTCGTTTGAGAAAAAGTA